ATATATATATATTTAATTCATTAAGCAAGTATGGTTTTTGTATTCCTTCACCCTAATGAGAAGTTAAACTACTTATAATGTTCAGATTTTAATAGAACCCCTTGAGTTACAACACAAAAATATATCCAATGCAAATTTGGTTGTTAATAGTTTTGGACTAAGCTAATGAGAAAACAAGAACACTGTTTAAAGGAAACAGAAAAAAATTGAGGCTATTTGAACGGCTGATGTCACATGTTAATTCCAGCAAATATTTATATTTAATAAGAAATATTTCCTGTGTACAAAAATACAACCCTTAGATCTGGCTCCCAAAGCACATATACTAGCCCTTTAATGATAATGAGAAAATCAGTATGCCTCCTGCACAAGAATGACACACACATTCATGAATCATCCCTATTTTAGGTGGGCAGAGAGGGCTTGCTAGAGAAGCGCTCCCAGGAAGAGGAGAAGATTCAGCAGCAGCCTAGTGCTAGAGCAAAGATGGCAGGTTTCCAGCAAGCAGTGGGAAAGAAAGAGAAACTTTTAGTTCAGAGAGTGAGGTGAAGTGCCCCTGCCCATGGCAGCCCATCTCTTTGCTGGCACCTTGGGTAATATACTTGAGTGAGCTTCTTTAGCCACTGAAGGGCATGGCTTTGAGCTTCCTGTAGGAGGCTTGATGAAAAGGGTGTAGGACCCTTTGTCCAGTGCCAGCCTTAGTGAACTGTTCATGCTTCAGACTGCAATGCTTCTGTACGCCAGTAATTCAAATTCCTGAAAATAAAACTCAATTTTTGCTAGTTGGCAGTAGACATGCGTGTGATTCAGCCTTCAGAGGCTGGAAAATTTAGTTTGGAAACTAAAAAACATAGGGACTGGGATGGAAAGGTAGTTCAGTGGTTAAGTGAGCTTGCTGCTTTTCCAGAGGATCCAATTTCAGAGTGAGAGCCTTTCTTAATAACCAGCACACCAGAGCCAAGCAGAGTCCGGCATGGTATACATGGCCAGTTCGGGGCCAGGAGGGTCAGTTTAACCTTGTCTTAAATTAGCAACAACAGCAACAAACCTCTAGTATTGTTAAGACTTACTTTCTCTTTTTTGTGTGTGTGGGGGGATGATTTTGTTCTATGAAACATATGTGAATATATGCTAAAAATTCCCTAAAAAACATAAGGGCTGGGATGGAAAGGTAGTTCAGTGGTTAAGTGAGCTTGCTGCTTTTCCAGAGGAGCCAATTTCAGTTCCCAGCACACACATGTGGCATTTCACAACTTCTTAAAACTCCAGCTCTCAGGATTCTGATGCCCTTTATGGCTTCCATGGGCATCTGCACACACATGACAGACACGCACGACATAAATAAGAATAAATCTTTAAAAAAGTTACACAAAATTTATTTTTTAAAAGAAAGATTCATGCCAGTCTTGTCCATTATGCACTATAATCCAAAAATTGCATTTTACTGACAAATTAACTCTACAATGTTTGATAAACATTGTACAATGGTGACAGTTTTCATTCTGAGAGAAGAGTTTCAAACTCATTTCATGCTTAATGAAATGAATCATATTAGCCTCCTGAATTTTTTTTTAGTGGCTGCATGATCTCAGACCCATATTAATATTGGCCTTAGTTTCTAATTCAAAGAAGCAAAGAGACTGGCAATTGATTTATGACCTGCGAAGATAGCATTTTGGATGCATGTTAAGTTTACAAAAAAAAAAACATTAAAATATAGTCACCAAAAAATTCTTTCTTTAACATATTTTTTAATTCTGTTATTTATGCTACATAACTAGTTACAAGAGACTTAACTCAGGTACCATAATCTTTTCTTGTTATTATAGCTTGTAATTTTGTAAATTGAAATTAAACATTCAATATTCATGAGTTTGTTTAGCTTTCTGGTTGTCAGAAAAGATTCAGTGTGGTTCTGGAGGCTAATCTTTTCTATGGACATTATTATTAATCAAGAAAGGCAGAAGAAAATTTTATTTGAAATAAAAG